TCAATAAATATAATCCAACAATTAAATGTATATGATTCTGAAATAGACCATACCACCAGTCCCAATCCCCTGTAATGTTGGTACTTAAAGTATATTCTGAATACTTTAGTACTTGAGTTCAATTTTGAATGATGTACAATGATTTCAACACTAGATTCGCTGCTTTTCCTTAAGTAAAATATCTTACTATCTAGTACTTCTTCCAGCCCTCTGTGCAGACGGTAAAAACAGGACAGATTAGGATCTTCTGTTTCATTACACTGTGCTGTTTTTTTTGCTGAATTTAATTTTTCTTCCCAGCCTGCTCTGAGCACAGTCTGCGCTCCCTTAGTATTTTTATCTCGCACATCATGCTTTTAATTATGGGACATATTGAGCAGCGTGTCCAATGCACGATGGCTCCACTGGAATATTCATGTCCAAAGTTGGAGGAAAGTGGAAAGGGGAGGGAAGTGAGCTGTAATTGTAATTAGTGAAGAACTTGGTGCTGCCAATTCTCAAAGGAGCATCCGAGTCACCTGCTGTGTGTGTGTGTGTGTGTGCGTGCGTGTGTGTGTGAGTGTGTGTGTGTGTGAGCGTGCGTGCATGCATCTGTCCTCCTGGCTTAGCGTACCTGGACACACCGGGGAGTTTGAGGAGCTCTCTTGGCTTAACTAGGAGACGTACCTGTCTGTCTCCTCGCTGCGGGCTGAAGTGGCTAGTTAGCATATGCGCTGCCATGCGTGCGTGTTTACCTTACACGGTGTGTGTGTGTGTGTGTGTGTGTGTGTGTGTGTGTGTGTGTGTGTGTGTGTGTGTGTGTGTGTGTGTGTGTGTGTGTGTGTGTGTGTGTGTGTGAACGAGCGCACGAGAGTGCATGTGCTCATCTCAAGTCTCACCGGAGACTTGTTGTCTAAGATTAATGAAGGTCACCGGAATCCTCCAAAGTATTCCGATAATTAAGGCTTTGTTTATCAAAAACAAGTTATATTAAGAGCAAAAAGATTCATGGTAATTATTCATAATCTTAACAATTCAAGTGTAGCCACCTCATTTGTGCCTTTAATTCTTCTTGTTAATGTTTTGCATAAATCTGCATAATTACTTGAGATGCCTGTTGTATTTTTGACAGCTACTCAGTTCGTGTGCACTAAAGGGTATCGAATGTGCCTCGCGCTGCATACTTAAAAAGTGCCTGTATGGCTGCAGCCGCACGAAGCATTTCAGCCATCAAGCAGGCTGGATTGGGCGCTGAGAATGAGGTGTTTTCTATCAAAGGGAGTAAATGGATGCTTCTGCTTCTCGCGGTTTACGAGCGAGGCGTCCCTCAAATCATCCCGCTAAATGAGGGCATCTACGAATGAATCCGACCAAACAGAAGCTGTAGTGAGTTTACTCTGAAGATCAAGTCCCCCTAACATAACCTAATTCAAGGTGTCTGTGTCTAGCTTGACACCTCTGAGGCGCCTACTGTATAATCACTGATGCCATAATCACATGTAAATGACCACTGCATGGAAATGCGCCCTCTTCGTTTACATAATCTTGTAATGACCTATTGTAACAGTCTGTCTGTGATATCGGCCCTAATAGATTGTTCTTGCTCTAGTTTTTTTTTCAACTTTTTTTTTTTGCAGCTTCTGCCCCTGGAATTACACGGAGAGCGAAGCTGGCCTATTAGCACTGTGACATGAGTGATTTAATTTACCCTTCGTCTCTCTCTCTGTTACTCTGCTCTTATTTAGCATGCGACAGGCGTGGACAGTAATGGCTGTGTGATTGGGCTGCTTGAGATGGATGATGATTTTAATAAACACACGCGACGACGAGGCCACAGGGTCAATAGTGTTTGGATTCATCAGCCGCACAGGTAGGATGGAGCTGTGAATGATGACACAAACATGCTTTCAGGAGATGGACTTGCAACACATTCCAGTACTTTCTTTAGCTCATACTCACATGTTGAGAGAGACTAAAGCATCTGTGCTTCCTGTGTCCACCGAGTCACACTTCTCTGCGTACCCAGCCCTCCATGCAGGCCTCGTGCTCCCGCTCAGAGAAACATGTGGCTCCGATGTTAATTGAAATTTGTCTAATGAAGTAAAGTTAAGAAACAAAGATAGTGCGGCTCATAGGAGAAGAGCTAGGTACACAACGAGAGGGCAAGAGAGGGGGGAAAGTAAGAAGAAGAAAAAAAGAAAGCTTCAACTTTCTTTAATTATGTTTACCCAACAGGCTTTGCTTCCTCATTTAAATAGCATAAACATCTGGCCATGGCGCGCCACTAGCATGGCGGCAGTAGTCAAGCAAATCTTGTGGAAAATAATGAAATTAGATCCCTGGTGCTGTGACAGTGGAAGGGCAGAAGACATCCGCTCCATGTTAATAAAATTGCCATGAATGAGTGAATACAATTAGGAAATTGTCAGTGGCAGCAGTGAACTTTTGTAACTCACCGATGTTTGCATCATTCGATTAAGGCAGCAATTTGGACTTGTTTATTTGCGGCTGCTGTGGCTTTTATTAATTGTGACCCGGCAGTGATTGGCCTGCGATTAAAGCAGTCACATATGATGTGGCTGAGGGTGAGGGATGGACTGGTGGGCAGGCTGATGGAGGAGCTTTTTAAAAAAAAATGTATTGTTGTTTATCTCTGTGGGTGCATGTCAAGGAGGACAGAGATTTTTCTAATTGTGTGTTTGTGGATGTGTATTAATGCATGATACTTAACCTTTGAGTTTCAGCAGCAAGGTTTTACCAACCACGTTCAGTTAATATATTTGTGAAATAACCACAAAAATATGTTGAATCTTAATAGCTGTGTAATTCTGTAGTATTTTATGGCAAACTATTTTTCATCTATACTCAAAGCCTAAATGTTAACTTATCCATATACTTTACATAAAGCACTAACATCATGTCAAGAACTCACGTCTCCAATGTTTACGTTCCTGAAGCTACATTTGAGCATTTCTAAAGACATGATCAAGTTACAGGCACGTCCCAATGTTTGCTTAAAATCAGGAATGGTTAAGCAGGGACAATTCACAGAAAAGCTGGTAAACACACATCGAAACAGTGCATGGATTGTTTTGTTTTTTCTCGCAAACCGAAACAGAAAGTGGGTTAACATGCAGGGTGCCATTTTTGCCCAATAATCAGCTTCCGTCCTAAATTCGGTTGAAAAAAGATTCTGGTGTAATTGTGTTTAAATTGTGTAAAGGAAGAGGCATTGGCCCATTACCCTTCTATTATTGCTCACAAACTCTTCCACCACTCACCTACTAACCCTTACACAAATTGTTCTAATACAGTAGAAACCCCTCTCCATAATTAAGAAAAATGCCAGGCATTGTCTGATTCCGGTTTCTCAAATTGATCAGATTAATAAATCAACCATAGGCTCAGGTACACCTGATGGTCATTTTTGTACTGGTTCTAACCTTTTGTAGTGTAAGAGATAAATAGATTATTTTAAAAAACGATGTATTGACATATTCATTGATAATAGCATTAATCATAAAGACTTCATTCAATTAGAATGATTATTTTCATTATCACACCTCGATAATGGAAGCTGGCAAGGAAAAGGAATGGTTATCTTTACGGTTTTAGGAACCAAGAAAACATAACCCTAACCCAGCATAATAAAACCACACAACATAAGGTTAGTCATTATTATTGACTTTTAATTAAAAACATGTTTAAACATTATGTTAAATCTACCAACTGGAATTGGCTTGTTTGTGCCATTCCTTGTTAAGATAGGCACTGGAAAAACTTTTTCACAGTTCAGTTTGTATGGCACTATCTCCTCTTCCCAGAAGACATAGTATGTGTACTATACTGTGTATATATATATATATATATATACATCTCTACAGACTGTGGCGCTTTGGAATAAATATTTTCTAATGCTCTCAGTCTTTATCATCTTCGCTCCTCGGGTCTGGCGTTCACCAATCTGAGTCCTCTTTGCAAATTTGAAGTAGTGCATCCCTACCGTCCTTGCTTTGTGCTTTCTAGAGAGAGCACTGTGTTTACTTTACAGCCGCACGCCGGCAAGGGAAGGGATTACATTTGTGGAAATGAGTTGTCATTTCAGGAGGTAATAATGGATTTGGGCCTGAGAGCTCGACAAACACAACACGGGGAGCGGAGAGGATGAAACATGGGAGCCGACGTAGAGAATGTGTGTGTACATTGTGGATTTGTGTGCACACGGGGTAAAGATGGGTCCCGCACAAAAGCACACACACTATTTGGCTGGACATCTGTACAAAAGAGAGAGCACTGGTGGATTCTGCTGGGGTGTCTGGTTGGGGGGTGGATATCCCGCCACAAGATTCCTCCAATCTTCAAAGCTCCAGTCCGGTTGGAAGTAATGGTTTCCATCCCTGTTGCCAGATTGGGTTCGTCCTGTCATCACCGCTGTATTTACTTACAATGTTTTATCTTTTGTCTTGGCCGCCCTCAGAATTGCCTCCGTAGTACTTTACGCTGACTTGAAATGCCTCTTTTGTCTTTGGCTGGAGTTTTGGAAGTTCCATTCCCGCCTGCCAAAAGAAAACTTGTTCATGGCCTCCTGTTTTTCCATGACCTTTGGAATGATCAGCAGAACGTCAGTCCCATTAGGTCCATCATCGTCACCCATATATTTTACATACCGCCCACATGCATAACGTGTCTATCCCCTGCAATATCTCCACTGTTGATCATGTGCCAAAAGTGGATCCATGAATTATTCTATATATTGACCTATGATGTTTTGGATCGCATCATCATCAATTAGCGTTTATCTCCGACAAGACCAAAGTTGGGCTAGGTAAAAAAGTGTTTGTGTTTATAATCTAAAACCCAAGTGGATCAATATCAACATTGATCAAGTGTAGACATCAAAGTGGAACAACATTTATTTTATTATGCTAATTTTCAGGTTCATATTGGTAGTGTGTGCCTCTACTGTGACATGTCTCCATGCTTTAATGTTCAAAAAGCTCTTTATTTCTCTCATACTGCCTGTGCTGCAGCACCTCTTTTTACCCTCTGTCTGAAACCAGAGCCCAGTCGGCTCTGATTTGTTAGCTGCCCTGCTCTGTTTTGATTGGTCAACCACTTAGAGATGTCCCACCGCTTAGTCTATCACGTACAATGTTTTGGAGTGCTGGCCAATAGAAGTGCAAGTGTTATGAAGTGATGTCATAATGCCACGGAAGTAAACAAAGGACTACAATTGAGGCACTTCAGCACTTCACGGCATCTTTGAGGGTAGATGGAGCAGTGTGAAGTACACAAAAAATTACAGCTTAACTTTATTTGACTGCGATAGATAATTTATTGGTGTTTGCTCATTTTAGTTGTGTCTGTCTGGGTTTTACACACTTTGGACCAGGTGGAATTATCTTGTATTTGGATTGGAACTCTGTTGGTCTCTTTGGCAGGGGTCACTTTTTTTAAAGAAATTATTCATTCTTGCATGTACATGTGGAACTTTATTTGCACTTGTTAGCAGATATCCCCTTTATCAAACATTAAAACGTGGCTCATCCTCAGAAATCTTCATAAATCCATTAAAAAAACAGAAGGCCAACGTGCGCTGTAAAACAAATAAAAAACTATGCTTAGAGTTGTAAATTATCAAGTCTCAAGATGATAAAAAATACATCTTACAAAAATACAGTTGGTCATACCGACCGTACCATTAGGGTACCGAGGCAGATTTATTTTACAGGCCTTGCATGTTCTTCTTACTTAATGATAGAACCATATGCTTAAGCTATTGAGAATGTATGGGCCTTGATGTGTGTAACATGATCATTCCAGGGTGTACAGAGGTGAGGGGCAAAGGGGGTTTGGTTGTAATATGACTGGCTTTGTTAAATAAGACACTTTGTCACATACAGCTGTAAAGTCTCAAAGCTTTTTTTTTAACATAATGTAAGCCGCAGGACTTCTACATACTCAGCATTTCATACAAAAGTGTCATTAAGTGAGTCTCTTATACAGTATATATATATATCTTCAATATGTATATGCTTTGTTTATGTGCTTAAGAATGTGTGTGTATGCATTTGCATGTGTGAGGAGAACAAATTAGTGTACAAGTATATCTACTTGTGCATTTTTGTGTGCATGAATACACATGTGTATTAGCATGAGCGTGTGTGTGTGTCATGAGACAGATGGGTAATAGCCCCTGTGCTGAAAGCGGGGCCCTGTGTAACGTGCAGCCCTGATTGCAGACCTGATTACCTGCCATATGCTAGCTGAAGGGTTGAGGGCCGGACCAAATGAGAACAGTATGCATACGTTAAAGCAGCGTTTTTATAGCACAGTCATTATGCCCCCGCTCTGGCAAATGAAAACGAGTGTGGCAGGCAGGGAAAATAATGAAGTCGTAAAAACGGACGGGTCACGGTGCGTGGTCGCTTCCGTGGCCACCTCCCAGCTGTAATCCCATTGGTTGGAGGGGAAGAGGAAGGGTCCCCCGCTAAGATGATGGTGTAGGGACGGTTAGAGTGCAGGGTGCATGGTTCAATGGAAAAGCCTTCCAGAGAGGGAAGATGGCAGTTAAAGATCAAACTGCATAATTTCCCACCTTAATTTAGGGGATGACTACACTGAAAAAACTGAAACTTTGACTTTATTTAAATGTATTATGTCAACAGATTTCACATAACTGTACTAGGTTAGTTGAAAGCAATACTATTCGTTTTTAGTTTCAAAATATTAGGTTCAACTTAATATTATTGCTTTCAACTAACCTAATACAGTTATGTGAAATGTGTTCAACGTTTCAGTTTTTTCAGTGTTTGAAACATAAGTGTGTGTGTGTGTGTGTGTGTGTGTGTGTGTGTCTGTGTCTGTGTGTGTGTGTCTGGGCCAGTGTGTGATGTGATTATGATCCTATTAGCCTTTTGCATTCTCCATTATGCATGCAGCGTACAGGCTAAACTGACCTTGTAAGACGATCATTGACTCTCCTTGGAAAACACTTGTTATCCCAGGATTAATACACACACCAATTACTACCTGCTCGCCACATGAGCTCAGGAAATAAAACATTTCCTATCTGTGTCTGTTACAAAGGGCCGATGCCAAGCCCTCTGTGTACAAAGCAGAATTAAGGGGGCACGCAAAAACATACACTTCATTGGAGTACTTATTGTAGAGTTTTTACGTTTCACTGTAAACACGCAAACTTAAAATTGTTGGCCTGAAAATAATTTGTTTGTAAAGTGAACAAAAAATATTGAATTGAGTTGCTTACTACATTAAAGTAGTTCTCTCGACTATCTTTATTATGTTGCTTGTTTAAGGCGAGACACGGCAGGCAAAAACATCGTTTTTCAAGCACTGGTCAATTTTGAGATTTTGTGCTATTTTGATTCTATAACATGTTTTATTTCAGGCTTTTGGAAGGAAAACGTACAAAATACACATTTAAGTGTTTATTTGACTATAGTTTGTCTATTTGCCTCAGTAGATTTCTCCTAAAATTCAGCCCAACAAAGCTGTAGGCTTTCATAAAATCTACAGCCGTACCATAAAGCAGCCCGGGGGCGAGCCCGCTGTGTGGC